CGGTCAGAGCCTACAACAGGAATTTTCCTTGGAAATTGTGGATCCTCCAAGCCTGTTTTAAAGCTACAAGATAAGGCTCAGAGAATTCATGGGCTCATTTTTCTTCTTTCAGTGTCTTCTGACAAATGATCAAAGTGGCAAAGCAATTGTGATACAATGTCACAGGACAAAGGCTCCATATCTAATATTGACAAGAGATACCTGGGACTCTCAGGGCTGGAAATGCCTGTCCAACCCCTGACACAATCTAAGTCTGGACGTGTGATGAGGCCAGGCCCCATTTAATTAGGCATCCCTCGGCAGGTTGAGCACATGAAAGACAGAAAAAATGTATATGCTATAAAAAGAAATCTTCCCTCCACCCGAATCAATAGCATTTAAAATATCTAATGGCCAAAACGTGAGAAAAATGACAATACACATGAGCAACCAACTCAGAGTCACATAGCCTGACAGTCCCTGTGGGCTGGAGGAGGCGAGCAGCTGTGTTTCACAGAACTGCATCCAGTGGTGCCCCAAGGGATGGGCCACTGCACAGACAGCCCTGAAGACCTCTGGGCTCAGCCATGACTCAATGGCAGAAAGAACACAAGGCAGAAAACTTTAGGGGAGGGAGGGAGGCGGAAAGTGAAAACACCACTCAGGAAATACGGTAGCTCCAGATGAGACTCAAGGGAGAAAAAAGTGGGGTCACAGCAGGAGGTTGCACCAAAGCTATAATAGAGCTTAAATGCACGTCACATTCAATTTTATTGACAACCTTCATCATTTAAATCTAGTAAGCATCTGGGGAAGACAGGTGCCCACTATCTTGGAACTGCAGGAGTCATTTTTTTTTTTTTTTCATTTGCAAAAGACCCGATGACAAGAGACATCATAAAGGCAATTGGGATGTGGTGGAACCTTAAAGAATTTGGAACTAGTGGGAGGTCATTAGGAATGGTGGGACCCCAGTCTCTTCCTTTAATTTTCACTTTTTGGCCACGGAGTACGCTGCTATCATGTGCTATCCCCCCACCAGAGGCCTAGCAGGAATAGGTCTTCCCTGATCATAGACTGGTGTCTCCAAAACTGTGAGCCCAAGTAAACCTTTTCTCTTTATAAGTTGATTACTTCAACTATTTGTTACAGTGTTGGAACTCTAACAGAGATATAATTCTGGATTTTTAAAAAGTAAACCAAAAGAAAGTCCCTCCATTGCATCATCTCATTGAAGAGGACTGTTAGCACATTTAGAGAAATAAGGTGACATTTGCCTTATAGGTGGGATGTGTCCTCTTCCCATGTCTCTTATTATCTAGGAGCACAGCACAGCCCTTTTCTCAGTGCTAGCTGTACAAGTGTATGTGAGTTTGCACACAGACCCAGGCTAGCCCGTGCCTGGGAGGGGCACGCACCAGTACCAGTAGGAAATCATTGCTCTGACATTTGAATTGTGCTTTGAAATGTGTTTGATATTTTCCACTACCCTTCCTCTTATCTTTCTGCCCACCTTCATGAACTGCTTATTTAGGCAGATAATGATTGTGACAGATCAATAGTGTTTCCTAATCATGTTCCCAATGACAACAGGGGAAAGGCACAATCAATTTTTTAAAAAAAAAAACATTTTTCATATTAATCCTCCCATAAAATTTGAGAGTTGGTCATGGTATAACTGCTAACAATATGCATATTAAGAAGAAAAGACCATCTTTGTGAGGTAACTGGCTTATAGTTTAGTTCATAAGAACTGGTGTCTTTAAATGCATAAGTAACTTAAATGTAGATCCTCATCTAGCCAAACTATATCTCTACCTTCTTTTCTGAGCAGAGGAGAATGCAGCCTGCCCTTCCACCTGCAGACCTCCCAGGAAATGTTTCCAAGTCCTGCCTGCTTTACCAAGTTTCCATGCCAACCTGGAAATGGCTGTTCTGCTAGGGTGGACATTCAAGTTGCTTCCTTGAAAGCACATGGAGCAACACACTGAGATGCATTTGCTTTTCCATAAAAATAAATGGATGTAAAATTATCAAGTTTTCTTTCCAATTTAACAGGGCATGAAACTAGTCTGCTGAATGAGGGCACACTATAAGTACTTAAGCTGAGCACATCACTAATATCAGCAGAAAGGTGACTATTAGCTTAATTGATTCATCCATGAGAAGAAAACACAAAAACCAAAACAACTCTTGCTGGATTTAGATGTCCACTGCCCAAACTGAGGCTAGCTCTTTAGCCTTTTTATCTTTTCACATTCTTCCATTAGAAAGTATATAGTAAACCTTCATCATCTTGCTAAATCTAGTTCTGAGGTTTCCAGTAGACACATGAGATTTTCACATTAGCATAAAAATGTGGCAGTGTGCATCTGTTTGGTAGCGTTAATAGATTCCACAAATAACTGAGAGAAACAAACTTTCACCACAGAGTTAAAATATTTAATGACAAAATTAGAGTTTGCCATAATAGTGAATCAACAGAGCAGGTGTTACTTGTCTCTGAATAAAACAAAAATTATGCTTGACATCTTAGGGAACTTCTGAAGAATTAATAACTGTACAACAGACATTAGCAGTGTTACAATTCTGAAAATTAAGAGTGAAACCTATCGTAAATATCCCTTACTTAGGGAATCCTGTAAATATTTTTACATAAATGCACAACCTTTGCTAGCCACAATAGTATTAAAACAGATTTCACTATAAGTCTAACACATAATCTTATTTTTTTTCAGAGCTTAAAAAAAGTCAACTACTAATTGTTACATTTTACAAATACATTCTTTGAAATGAAACATTAACCTGAATAACTGCATACTTCTTGTACACAGATATCTAATAACTAGTGAAGATACTATAACTACATTCCAGGAAGAAGTGGTAATACTGGAGAGTTTTTCTTTCTGTGTTGTCAGTATAATTTGAGAAGTCCTTCACAGAAATGTAGTATCCCCCAATTCAAAGTGAAGTGCAGAAATGAAACAAATGAATTAAATGTCCTCTAGCAAGCTCAACCAAATGAGCTGGTTCCAAACAATTTATTATTAGCAATTTTCTCTAGGTTAGACAGTATTCATATTTTGTATTGCAGCACCTTCTACAAAAGGATAGCAAAGAACTTTAAATGTAGTGAAGTCATGGGGCTCAAGGGAAGTGCTGTGTGGCCAGTTTGGCAGAGGCCAAGTAGGACTTTGACACAGGGAGGTCAAGGGCATGACCATGGCCTAAAAGCTAATGAAGAGAGGAAGCTAATAAAGAGTCAGATGGGCTTTCTTCTAATTAGGCTATTTCCAATAAGACTTAGGTCTAAAAGGATCAACAGAGTGAGGAGAGAGGGCAAGATGTGGAATACTTACATTTATGAAGAATAACTATCAGAATTTTACCAGGGAGGAGGAATCTCAGATTTCACAGTCTGCTTATGACCTCATCCTCTGCCACTTTAGAAGCAGCTTCCCAAACACTGTTGTTAGATAGCTGGCAACCAATTTTATTCTTGAACTTGGCCGATTGTCAGGGGTTTTAGATTTATTCTTTCAATTATTCATACCAACTATCTCTGAAACCAGATCCAGTTTGGGAAGTTGAAAATATAACTGCGTGCATGCGTGGTGTGCACGTGTGTTTTCTGAACGGAAGTCTGCAAACAAAAGCTATTTGGAATGATATTTGGGGTTTTTCTTAGAAACTATAAATATTTCTAATGGTATTCAACAAATGGCAGGCTCCTTGCTTCTTTAACCTTTTAAGACACTAAAAGTACAAAGTATTATAGTAAACTATAGATGTTTACTATAGTTTCCTATATAAATTTTATAGTTTTCTTGAATTGGATCATCTCTCTAAGAGAATTCAAAAATTTGTCTCCAGCAAATCCCATCTCCTTTTTGACAAGTACTGCCTATGATTTTTATTTTCCAATAGTCATACTTTCTGTCTCCCTGGGAATGCTTTATCAGGAGAACTTAAGCTATTTAAATAAGCATTAGTAATCCAAAAGTCATCTTATGCTGCTTGGTAAGAGGCTACTATACACATAGACTCAATTGGCTCAATGGATGCGAAGGGGCAGAATGGGGTGCCACCAAGACTCAGGCATCTTGATTCCTGCTGGAAGAGCTGACAGCGTTATCTGGGGGTGCAGCTCACCAACTTGTCTCATGAGGAACAAGCACAGCTTTTTTTGGTTTAACGCTCAGGAAGCAAAACTTCCAGACTTTAAACCCTGTATTACCTTGAGCAATACGCAATCAAAAGGTGTGTGACTAAGTATATTCAATGTGACAGCAGTTTAACAGCTTGGTGACCATGCTGTCTTATGTCAGGCTAGGCCAGCTACAATTGCCATGATATGCAATTTGTCAAGAAACACTCATGTTAAGTTACATTAAATAAATAGACAGCAATAATAACATCCGAACCTCCAAAACTAGATACCAAAAAAAAAAAAAAAAAAACAAAACAAAAAACAAAAACCCCAAAACTAAAGGTTCTTTCCCAAGGACATTGTGAGGGTGTTTTAAAAATGGGCATGGTTTTGTTAAAAAAAAATACTTTAAATGTAGTTACCTTTTCACATTATCATTTATATAGACTTTTATTTGGGCAAATGAATTTTTGATAAAAATCCAAGCTCTTTTCAATATCAGCTACTGTAATTTGGGACAATATAAAAGAGAGAAACACCCATGAAGATTTTTAGAGGTTTTTAAAGTAGGCTTTTCCTTAGCTCTTTACTCTCAAATTTTTATCTTTCATATGATAATTCCAAATAATCAGCCTGGAAAGAAGTAGCAGAAGTATTTAAGCTGCAGCTCACAAAGTAGATTTCTATTTGTGATTCTGATTTGTTTTTTTGAATGCTGGTGATGGTTCATGAAAAAGATTAATATGCAAAGAGCAAAATCTAAGACTGCTATTTCCCCTGATAAACCCAAGTGTTTTCCATAATATAGACTATGTCTCAGGATACAGAATTTTAATTTTACTCTTCAAATTAAAAGTATTAGGAGAGTGAGTGAAACCATTCGCTGCTCGACTTTTATTTCATCCAGGAACAATGACATCTGGTATCATCACATTGAACTTGCTTAATAACAGGGAGAAAAAAAATACATGTTGCCTGTTGAGACCCAGCTTGGCTTATCATTTGGTCCAAATTTTATATTCAAACTACCAAAAAAAAATTCATCTTAAAAAGAAAAACATGAACAATTTACCGCCCCCCACCCCCACCCCCACATTCTGGGAAAAATCAAAATAAAACCAATGCTATTGTAGCATTTCTTAGCAAGATCATTAGGGAAATGTATAAACACAACACCTTTTCATTCATATTAACATCTGAAAATGAACAGCAAAAACCCTAAATGTCCATATATTGGAAAAAAGAAGCAAGTGGAGGTTCGGAATTCTCATAAGAACTGCTGAACATTCTCTTCCATTGCTTTCAAGAGGGTCATCAGGATGGCAGTTTCTCAACATTTGTGCTTCATGGCAAGCTAAGGAGAGAGAGGCATGAGAAAAGTGAGACTCAGTAATAGGTAGATCCCTCTGCTGCCTCCTCCCCACATCCACATCAAGAAGCAGAACCAAGATTTCACTCTCTGTACATCACTGTGACTATTCACAGTGGCACCTTGTAGATGAGCAACACTTTCCAAATAGTTCAGTGGACACTGGCTTACTTCTCTTCCTGTGTTAATTTAACTGGTGTACGTGTCCAGTGGGAGAAAGTGCGGTGCTGTATTCTTTCAGCCCATTGAAGGAACAACTGGAAAAACTGATGTACAGGCAGAACTCACCCTAGAAAAGTTGGGATTCCCAGGTTACCAATTATCCAGGAAAAGCAGTACTCCTACAATATAAGTATCTACTGACATCTCATGATGTATAAAAACTAAATGGCCTGTAGTGGGACAATATACAATGATGTACTCACTACCCAGTCCGGACCTTCAACCAAGTCCGAAGACCTTGACAATTATATTGAGTTGCTGACTTGGGCTGAACAACTGACCAAATTCAGACCTTGACTTACTACTTATCCAACTGGTATCTGAGGAATGTGATCTACTGAAACATTAGCTCTTTATAAATAGGAACACCAAATAGCCCACTTGGGAGACCAGGATCATGTATTTTAAAAAACGTTATGCAGATACAGAATTGAGTTAAATCTTTCTTTTCTTATCTAGATCTTCTCCCAAGGGACCCATAGAAGGCACAGCAGAGACTGAGTTGCAATTCTTCATGTGTTCAGAGTCTGACATTGGGGATGAATCCCAGGATTGGTCTGGGAATGACCAGGAGGAGAGTTCTGTGATGCAGAATTCCTTTAAGCAAAGAACAGATGGTGCTCTGAGGCAATAGCTTTGTTAAAACCCTGCCATTGCATCATGATCAGGTTCTCTGCCTTTTAAGAATTAGGTGTGGACCTGCTCTCATGTTGGAAGGTTAACCTTTGTGTTTTACAAAGAGCATGTGAAGTTGAGTATGCACAGGCTGCTAGGCTGAGTGCTGTGGGGTTCTGCCAAGAAGTGTGGAGGTGGCTAATAACTCTGATATCAAAGAGTCAAGAGTCCAGGACAGTAAAAAGAACTATAAACTCCAGTGAGTAAAAGGACAAAGCCAGGGCTCTACCTCAGATTGGTCCCACTCCTTGGCCACCCTCTTTACTGTAAGGCCTCCACTTCTTGCTCTGCTTCCATTCCTCAAACATTATTTAGCAATGAGGACCATCAAATAAACACCGAGCTGTTAAGTGTCTTGCATAATGAATATCAAGCATGAATATTTGATTAGTGCCACCGTTCTGGTATTCATTGAGCTGTTAACTTTCCACTAAGGAACCTGTGCCAATTCACACATAGCCATTAATCTTCAATGGTGATTGTGCTGCTGCTCAAACTAGACCCCAGTTTCCAGGACAGCGCATCTGGAATGGAGCTCAAGGGACCACCAGTTGTGACCAGCTGTGCTTTGCAGAAACACAACCTCATTTGCTATTTGAAGTACCTTTATGGTCTGAATGTTTGTGTCCCCCTACCTGCCATTCATTAACCCCCTATGATATGGTATTAGCAATTGTTGCCTTTGGGAAGTAAGTAGGTCATGAGGGTAGTGTCTTTATAAATGGGATTATATCCTTATAAAGAGGGTAGAGAAAGGCCCCTAGCCCTTTCCACCATTAGAGGGCACTCTGAAAAGTTGTCATCTATGAATCAGAAAACTGGCCTTCAGCAGACATGAAATCTTCTGCCACCAGGCTCTTAGGTTTCTCAGTCTCCAGAACTGTGAGAAACAAAGTTCTGTTGTTTTATCAGTTTTATGGCATTTTGTTACAGTAGCCTGAATGACCTATGATAGGCATTTTTTTGCAGAAAGTGGTATCATTTACTTTTTAAGAGAAATCCCCTGGGAATTGGGAGCTTTAGAAAAGAAGGCAGGATGGTAAGAGCAGGAAGAACACTAGACTAAACAAGGTCAGGACACCTGGTTACAAATTTTCTGTGTGACCTTGAGCTCTAAGGTCACAGCTGTTCCAAACCTTAGCTTCCTTATGTATCTATTAAAACATCTCCAACTCTATGGATTAATATAATTTAAGTGTCAGAGTTCCCAAAGAAGTTTAAAATTTCCTTTTGATCTATTCTGTTTTCTTAATTTCTCATGGAAAACTTCCTCTTTCAATGTAATCTATCTAAATAATGATAATTAAAAAATCATCACTGACACTTGGTAGATACTTATAGGAGGCCTGAGACCCTCTGGGCCTAGAGGTCCAAGGGAAACAGCTGGCTGTAGTACCTGGAGAGCTGGCCATTCCCTTGCAGTGAGATGAATGCCACTTGCCCTTCCTTCCCCCCAACAATGTGGGTTTCTACAGAACGGGGCATATCCATGCTCCTTTCTGGGAGAAGTGTCATCTGAGGATGCCTAGGTGTGGGTAACACTTGCCTGCTTACTCACGGCCCCGTGGCGGGCTGTGGGTACTGCACACACTGTAGCGCTGTGCTTTTGGGGGCAGGGCTGCTCTGTGGTGGAGCTGTTCTTTCCTAACAGCTGGGACTGTGCCCAGTCCATGGCTCAGGAAGGAACCGCACTTCCTGAAGCCGGGCTAACCAGGGCGGAGATGAGGGATGCAGGGGAGTGGGGAGAAGGATCATTTTCCATTTGCTCTGTAGGGGACAAGCACCCCAATAGCATAAGGGCAGGATTGTGCAAAAGTGATTCCTTTACTCTCATACCTGGGTCATTGCAGGGATTCTGGGAAAGTTAGAAGGTCAAAGATCTGGTTCTATTGCAGTCTAGACAGGTGTTGGTATACCTTCCCAGGAGGGGTGGTGTCCTGCTTCAACTGGGAGCTTGGAGGAACTGTCACCTAGAATCACTATTCTCTGCTCAGGGCTCTGCCATGGGTGCTGTGCCTCCACTTGTAAACACAGCCCACTCTTGATGAGTCAACAAAGCCACTTATGCCTGGGGGTGGAAGGCCTGGCTTCCATCTCTGAACTCTTTCCTCACCAGCAGGTCCCACTGGGGCCTGGCCAGTGAAATGACATCTTCTTGGTAAGCCTACTCTAGCAGGGCCAAATCAGCAGTCCTCATCCCTGGGAAAACAGCCACACCTTATCCAAAGAAGTCAATCTGCTCGTTAGGAATACTGCCAATGTCAGTGATTCATAAGCACATATCCCAGTTGTAGAAAACATCAAGTCTGGCTTTGACACTGTCTCACACTCCCGCAAACATGCTAATAGACTCCAGCAGCCGCTCTCCCTGAAGAACACTGCAGGAGGGGAAACGGACCCAATGCCAACTGCCCCTGCCTCGTTCCTCTCTACCGAAAGCAGGTAACTAACTGCCTGACACAGACCCTCCCATGGTCAAAGCCAGAGTCTCCTCTGCCTTGGGTGGCTTTGTCAGGTTCCTGTTTCAAGTTGCTCTCCATGTAGAGGGTATGGACTTGTAGTAGGAGGCCCCCCACCCCAGTGTCCCTCCATTTTTTTCTCTCTTGCTATTTTGAGGAGCCTCTGTCACTAGTAACACTTCTCCAGCTCCTGTGTAGTACTCATTGTGACTGAAAGGGCAGGTTTAGCAGAAACTATTTTTATGGAAGTAATTTTAAATAATAAAAATTCAGATTTATACATGTTACATACTGTGCTGATAGATTCAAACTCATTAAATTCTTTAACACCCTAGAAAGTAGTACTATTATTAATTAGCTGTGTTTTACTGATGAGGAAACTGGGGCTAAGAGAAATTTAGCACTTGTCCAAGGTCACCCAGATGGTAAATAACAGGTCTGAATTCCAACAAGATGTTAACTACCATACAATATTGCTTCCAATCACCTAGCCAACTTGGCCATGATATCAGGGAAACACAGTTGCCAAGGCCAAGAATTCAGGCCATCTGGTTAGGTTATCCTCTTGGGTGTTTGTACAACCCCCTCTGATAGGGACGCTTTTATGGAAGGCATCCAGGTATTGTCTATGCTACCTTAAGAAGAGTGATTTCATAGTCTCCCTTGATAACCTGGTTCATGGTTAAATCATTACCCTCAATTCTTGTTTTAGCAGAATTTTATCAGTACTCTATTGATTGCTCCATGCTGTGTGAGAAGCCATGAAAGAGAACTGCTGCCCTTCACCCTTCCCAGTCCTGAGGGAGTTAGGAAATCATTCCCTTTAGCCTTCTCTTTCCCAGCTCAACATTTAAAATGTTTCTCCAAATTTCTACTGACCATTCCCATCTGAATTATTTAAGTTGCTGCTATATGAATGTGAGACTGAATTCCAGCATTTCTATCTCATTTCCACCTCTGTACACAAAGGCTGGAGAAGGGAGGGAGGGACTAAGGAAACCTTAAATCTGAGTTCACTTCCTCTGTAACAGCTGCAGCAATGACGCCCTGGCCTCCAGCAGGGCTGTTACATTTTCAGAAAGATCAGGCCAATTCTCTAAGGGTCTCCAAAGGGTCCCAGGGGTAGCAGTGCAGTAAGACACTGTGGCGATAGAGAATCAATGATACCCCCCGACAGGTCTGTGCAAAGTTGATGCAGGGAGGAACAGCAGAAGGCACCTACCTGGAGTCACATGCTCAGTTGGGACTGAGTGTGAGCCTGGGAGAGGCCACCTCTGCTGTGGTTATTTTTCTTTCTTTCTTTTTTTTTTTTTGGTGCTGGGGATTGAACCTTCTGCATGTTATTTACAAAACCCCAGCCCTGGGGTTATTTTTCTTGTTGCTTTTTAGGTTGCCCATTTTTGTTTCCTCAGCAGCAATAGGACTTTCTGTTGGTGCAAATTAATTTTTTTTTCCCTCAAAAGTCACCTGAAAAGCATATCTACAGGTCCAGATTATGAGTCTGACAGACCATCATCAGCAGAGTTTGTTTCTGGAAGCCTAAATTCCAATCCCTAGCCAGAAAAAGAACTGCCCTTTGATCTGAAGCACGGGGACAGCATAAATCCTCTTTAACGCCTGACCAATGGGGCCCCTTATCTTTAGTTTGTGAATGCCTTAGGTAGTGACTACCAATAAAAACTCCCGTTTCACCTTCTGAAAGGTGCTGTTCTTAGCGGTATGGAGGCACATGGTGTGCACCCAGTGACATGGGGAATGCCATTCTCTAGACCTGGAGGCAGGAGGCATCTTGCAGCTTCACATGGTCTGAGCCCAGAATCCACGCACTGAAATAAAATCTGACCCCTGTCAGTGGGCACACCAGCCCTGAGACTGGAGCTTGCTTTGTGCCTGGGGAAAACACAAGAACACGAGATCCCAGCTACAGGACAGGAAAGAGACAGGATAGAAAAGTAAGCCCAAGCAGCTTAAAGCGCACCAAGGACACTTTTAGGCCTTGGCAGGGGTGGCGGACACATCTGGAGACTGGATGTCATTTCTGCCTCATCCTGTGCCCTGAAACTTGAATCCTGACCTCCTGGGCACCAACTAAAAATGTTCCAGATTTCCTAAAGAGGCAAGGTTGGAAGGTCAGAGATAGGGATAAGATGAGGACATCAGAAAGGCCATAACAAAGAAACCAGATACAGAAGAAATTTTTCATAACTCTGGTACTTAGTAAGTAGCACATGGAAATTATCAAAGAGAAATTTTTTTTAAAAAGCTGCTTGATTTTATATCTTGCACCACAGGAAACATGGCTGAAAGAAAAAGTTTCTTGATACTATAACTTCCTGGCAGCCCAGAGCTAAGACCCCGGCCCTCAGCTGGCCCACCTTGTGTGCAGTTTCTGCAAACTGCTGGGCACTATTCTTCATGTCTTCCGTCTTCTCCTCTGCTCGGCCTAATCGCTCCCCACGCTCATTCAAGGCCTGGCTAGCCTTCTGTACTGCGCTGGTCACGCTATCAGCGGCCGAGTGGAGGATGCTGTTTCCTGGAAGAAGAAGAGCAAGAGCATCAGGTGCTAGCTTAGTTGACCCACAGTGACCAGACCCTATGCTATGGAAAAGCCTCCAGCACTCTGGAAGCAAGCTGACATTTCTTCTGATTCTGTCTGTCTGACTGACTCACTGTAGAAGACTACCACAGATGGACAGCAGAACCCAGGCAGATTCTGGATGCTTTTCTCCACACCCATCGATTTTGCCAGTGTTCTGTCTGCTGAGGCTCAAAGAGCTGGGGCCCATCTGGATTTAAGACTTGGCTTGCAAAAGTAAATGAGAATCCTGACAAGTTCACAGAATTAGGCAAGTTCAATGAGTCATGTCTGGACCTTATGTGCATTTCCTTTTGGTTTGCAAAAATTTAGGAGAATCATCACAGGAAAAATGGGGCCACAGGACTTTTCCAGATACAATGCTCTGTAATTCCTTTAATTCTTCGCTTTCATTTTCTTCTTTCATCCAGCAAGTAAGAAATACCCCCAAATATATAGCTCTCAAGAGCTACGACTCAGTCTCAAAGTTTAAGGTAGATGTGTTGGCTTCCAGCCTTGAATCCTGTGCCATGGCTAGGATTGCTGGGCCTACTGATCTCTGATTCCCAGTATATGGAATAGGAAGCCTCAGCATGAGCAGGTAGAAAACTATTACACAAAACAATGTACAGGAAATTTGACATTCCCAAACTCAGGAATGATGATAATGAGAAAATGAAAAAGCATCACATCTCAGAGGGTCATGCATTCTCAACATCCTATTTGCCAAAGACTGGTCAGCAAAACTTGATGGTGAAGAAGTTGCAGACGCATAACCCACTGAGAAGCAGCAACTTGCAAATGACAACCAAAGGAAATTTATAGCTGTATTTTGTTAACACTGAGTGGAAGATATTTAATGGCATTTCATGTAATAGCTTTATGTCTTTGAATAAGTTTATGACATCATTTAACTTTGTACCTAGGATGGATGCATCTAGCCACAGATAGCTTTTAATAGAAATGTAATTTCCACTGGTCTTGGCTGCAAAGACTTCCTAATTTCTCCTCTGTAGGAACAGCCTGTGGTTTGTGGAAAAGGATCTCAGGCAAAGAAAGTGCCTGGTCTAGAGGAAGCACTTAGTGAGTTGTTTTCCATTTTTCTTCTTTAGGAGTGGACTTCAAGGGCTTCAAACACACACTAAGGGAAGGAGAATGGGATTAACTTAGTGTTACTATTTGCAGAAAGCATCACATGAACCAGCATTAAAAAAATGTGTACAATGGAGCAGGGAGCAGAGGAGACGTAACTCTGGAGACATTTGGTGGAACACAGGCTTGGAGTGGAAGGTCTGGGATTTTGGAACAGATTTAGGGGGAGGAATCTTAGTCCCCTTTTGTTTTCATGTCATTCTCATGACTATGATGAAAGCCTATTATCCAACCTAATATTTATATAGCATTTTTGCAATCATAAATCACCTTCACAAATACTACCTCACTTGATTATCCAAAAATTCTACTGAGAAGACAGACTGGAGAGGTGGAAAGGCCTGCCCAAGATTGTATCACTAGGGAAATGACACACCAGCACAGGGACCTGCTTTCTCCAATGACTTTTCCTTATTATGTACCCCCTTCTTTGCAGATATGATGTGGGTCTGGGGAAGCAATCACTTAACATTGTGGTAGCATAGGAACAGGTTTCACAGGTTATTTCCCAAGGTAATGCGCCTGACCATTTCTGTCTTCAAAGTATTCCACTTGGTAAATTCAGAGCTACCCATGTCACATTGCAAGTCCTATGATCTGAAGATGGGAGAGGCCAATAATGGTGTGTGATGAGAAGATGGCTTAGAGCCTGGAAGGTGCTGGGAGAGGAGTGGCACAAGGAAATCCCTTCATATACCCACAGTTTAGCCACATAAGGACTGGGAAAACACAGGGCAGGCCACTTCATGGCTAGGAATAGCCACATTAAATCAAAGGGATTTTAGAATTAGTTGCTATAAATTTAAGAGGGTGTGTAAAGAGGATTTGCCTTTTCCTTTGGAAGTGACCCATGTGATTAAAAGTTATATACATTTGGGTTTCTGGAATGGACCTGCTACACATAAGCCATACTACTTTCTCATCATGACTTCCCTAAAATTAGTCTGGTACATGATGTCAGATGATATCACACCCAGTTTTATATGAAATTATTTAACCAATAGTTGTTATAAAAAATAGAACCAAATGGTACAACTGAAAGGGAACCAAATGCTGCCTTTACTGTTCAAAGATGACACTGTGGACTACTATCAATAAGAAATCTACCTTCAGTGATTTTCAGGCACAAGAATGAATTTGGACAAATCTCATTTTCCTAGTTGAAATGCCCTCTCCCAGTCTCAATTCTATGCACAATTCAGGCCCAGTGAAGTCCCATCACCTTTATCAAGCTCTAGATCAATTCCCTTCTCCTCCTCAACTCTAAGTGCTACCTCTGTCCTCGTTGAGTGCTTCATCAAGTATTATCCGGATCAACCTTTCTCCTACTTCACTTCCGTGACATCTAGCTGGGTTAAAAATCCCCTGAGGTTACCATTTCATTCTGTTGACCAAATAAATTTTAGATCACATGGGTCATTTCCAAATCTTCAAATGTCCCCCTTTTTTGACGTAGATCTTCTGTTTACTTATTTTCTTCTCTCTGGGATTCCTTGCTCAAACTATAATTCTAGGGTTCTGTCTGTCCTTCACCCTCTTCTGAGTCTCTATGGAACAATCTTATTCAGTTCATGACTTCAGTTTCCAATTCTTAATCTTTCATAAGCTCAGTTGTTCTAGACAACTCCAACTAAATGACCCAAAGTCATCTTAAATTCAGTATGTCTAAACCTGACCCCATTATCTTTCCCTTCATGCCTGCTTTCCTTGTTTTAGCAGTGAATCCCAATATCCACCCAGGTCTTCATTCCAGGCAAAAAATCTAGGATCTACTCTTGATTCCTCCCTCATTTTTAAATTTTTATACTGAGGATTGAACCCAGGGATGCTTAACCACTAAGCCATATCCACAGCCCTTTTTTACATTTTACTTTTGGAGACAAGGTCTTGCTGAGTTGCTAAGTGCCTCATTAAGTTGCTGAGGCTGGCTTTGAACTTGTAATCCTCCTGTCTCAATCTCCTGATCCACTGGGATTATAGACATGTGCCATAGCACCTGGATTCCTCTCTCATTTTTATTCCATAGGATGCACTTGGAAGTTTGTCTCTCTACCTGCCTAAAGAGCACATCTGTTCTTTAGGGAATGTGGGAATAATGGAAAAATCCTACTTGGTTCAACTCAGTTTGAAGCTCATGGAAGACACTCCTCAGATATCTTGGTGTGTAGCACGGTGTGTTGCTCACAGTATTGAGACATATTTATTCAATCAAGGCATACTTTGTAAATAGGATGCCTTACTCAAAAGTTTGGGCCCATCATACTGTGCCAAGTTAAATCTGGAAATGAGGCAGTCTCCTGAGGCAGATAGAACAGTAATTCTCTCTAAATAGACAGGAAGCATATTAATACCCAAATTTATTCAAGCAATCTGAGAAGAAGCTGTCAACCACAGCAAATAAAGTCAACTTCCTTTTGAATTATAGACTCTGGAGAGTACAGCAGAAACCAGTCTTGCTTCATTGACACTCTCTTCACATCAGTACCAGTCAATGTGTGCTTTTAAAAACATATATGCTAACATCTTTTATGTTAAGTGATTTAAAAGACTTTTTAAAAAAGAAACTTGAAATAAAGCTATAGCATTGTATTCAGTTACTGTTAGAAAACATAATTAAAATAAATTTAAATGCACAGGAAAAGAATAAATATATTGAAAAGTGACAGCAGAAAAGAAAAAAAGAGAAAGAAAGTGTTTTGGAAGTACACAGAATACACCAACAACTCAAAATATCAACATAATTTCATTTGGTCCTCCGGGAGTTACATCGTGGTAATTAAAAATTCTAATTCTATAGCTAATAAAGAGGCAACTTAAACAGAATTTTTTTGGGGGGATACTTTCTATATAAAATACATAAAGTAGGTATTTCAAATGTAAAATACTCATCCAGTTTAGAAAGTAAGGCAGGAGAAAAACTGTCTTAAAAAATAAATGATCAATAGATATATGCCCATATATACTCAGTGCTGAGCAAACATGGTCATCTAAAAACAATCTTCTAAAACATAAATGTCTTAATAGCTTTACTTGAACTATTTCTATTTCATCATCAATTTAACTGCTTGGGAATAGTCACACAATAAATTATCCAAACAACCAAAATAAAAAAAAAGAAGAAAACCAATTTAAATTATGGGGAAACACATACATATACGCACAATGGATTTGGGTTCTAATTAACACAAAAATTGGCAAGGAGAATTATTATATTAAATCTGTTAACAGACCAGGAACACTAATAATCTCATACTGTATGCACCCAATATTCAATAATGATTTGTTCTCTGAGCGGATTAAATAGGCCCTATTCTGTTTTCATCTATGGTATTTTTTTTAGCAATACAACTTTCATGAGTAGGACACAAGGTACAATTAAGTCTCGTTCAATACCAGCAACATTTGAATTAATTTCATGGGATACTAATATGTGGGATTCATCTAAGATGATTTTTTCCTTTCTTTCTCTACTTCTAGTCTAAGACATTTCGCTGGTCAGGACCTCTCCCAGATCCCATGTTAACAAAACAAAGTTACACAAAGAAATGGTTCCTTGACAGCTCAGTCTCCTAGTCCCAAGGCCCCTCAGTACCACCTACAGTCTACTCCACTTCCTATGAAATGCCCCATTCCTCCCCCTCAGTGGTACTCAGTTACATGGTAGTCATGATGCTTCAAAGGAGACTGAGTCCACTTAGCACTGTGCCTTGAACTAAATATTTTATAAATGAACAATATTTAAATAATAAGGATGGTACTAGCTTTTACTTTTATAAACAGAGTGATTAAATGCAAAGTACCAGTGA